AAAAAAAAAAAAAAAAAAAAAAAATACAATATATATTCTTTTTAATTTTCAATGAAAAATTTTTCAATAGTAATTAAAATGTGAACATACACTGGATATAGATATTTAAAAATTGAAAATTCGAAGAGTTCGGGCGATTATCAAATGAAAAACTTTTCTCAAAAGCGAGAAAAAAACTTATTTTTCAACGCAGAAAATGATACAAAAAACGATGGTCCGGAATGGTTTCGAATCAAAACTAATAAATAAATGATTTACTAATCAATTGTAAATAACATTTTCTTTTTTTAAGAAAAATAGATTTTCATATTTAGTTATCAATTAGCTTTGGCATAACGAATTGTGATATGTTTGATCTTCAATTTTCATCGTCGTATTCTTAAAAGTAAAATTTGCATAAAAATTTGCAGTCTAGTCATCATCCTTTAGACCGAATTTATAGCTATATGAAATTAAAAGAAATTCCAATACTTTTTAATATTATAACTTATTTAATGTCGCTTGGTCATTGCCTTTTCTAACCATAATCTATAATTTCAATCTATAACAATAATCCGTAAGATTAAAAGAAACTTTTAATTAATAAAATCTTGCACAATTATTTCATTACTTGATAACCCTTTCATTCTTCAATTATTTAATCGCTTATCAATAAATCGTGACAATTCAAAATTATCGAACGCACCACTGCGTTATTAATTAATGTCGTTTGGCCTGCGAGTTAAGTAATCAATGAAATTAAGTGGTATGCAGCGTTTAATATTCGAATTTTCCTTCCTTTGTAAGTCTAAGCTGCGACAGACAATGCGAAAGAACGTTTACAAAAGTCATCAAAGCGGAAGCGATGGCATACGTCAATAGATCATTGTGTGTGGTGCATTTGATCGGCCATGAATCGATGTCATAGGTCAGCACAATCGTTTGCCGGTGGCTTTCCTTCGCGGATTATAGACGAACGTGGGAGTAAAAACGTGCAATACAAAAAGCGGATTAAAATGATGGATACGTTAAATCATCCCTTTGGATCATTTCTTTTCTTAGTCACATCTGCGCGAGAAGATTATTATTCTCCAATAAGGGGATAATCACGCGAGATTTCCTACCTGCGTGATTCATGCAGGGAATAATTAATAATTAAAATTTGTTTTATTGCAGACATCACTGATCTTAATATCAAGTTGGTGCAAACAGTGAAACGTTCCTTCGAAATTTGGCTTTATATAAATTGTCAGTTATCAGTCAAGAAAGGAAATAATTTTTTATAAATGTATGTTCAATTCTAGCAGTTTTTAGTAAAAATATAAAAAAGTTAACATTCACACTTAATCTTATATATATATATATTTAATTTATAAAATGACTTTTCCAAGTAAAACAAACCAATTTTAAATATCTCAATGTATATAAACATTATAGAATTGTGTGAAATAATTTTTATGAGCATAAAATTTACTACGTACTATCACAATGTAAAATCACGTTCATAATTATATTCACGTTTATATTTGAAAGTGTAAATTATGTCACAACAGTATTGTGATAACGTAATTGAATATACCGAATAATATAATTACAATTATAGATAATTATAATTATAAGATAGAAATGTTTGAGCAAATTTAATGTTTGACAACATTAATTCTACAATAGTTCTACAATTATAAAACAGTAGATGTCCACGAAGATAGTTTAAATCTTGAAAATGGACGAATAGATCAGCGGCCCTGGTTTCAGTGAACGAAATAAAGTAGATTAGCGAGAACGTACGAGCTCAATTGAAATTAATTGCGTGAGCAAACAAATAATCCAAGACGCTTTAGTGTATAAATTGGATAATTTTCTTTCTTCAAGTTAAAGTTTCCATAGCGAATCGCTTGTCCGATGCTTTGGAATTAACTTTCTTACACGCAATATCGTTCGATAACATTCCAATATTTACAGAAGTATATTTTCATAGCATTTCTAATAACATTAAATGCAGATCAAGTATTCGTATTACAAGCGTATCAATATTTTCTCGAATTTACTTTCGAATTTTCGATACTTCTTATACTATAATTGCAATTAGAACGTATTTATGAAAACTATTTAGGAAATTTTGTTAACGTATCATTTGTTTTCATAAAGATATTACAAAAAAACATGTAAATGTGCCAATACTTTCCTGACATACTGCACTATTTATTTTCGAATTCTCCATAACTAGAAGTCAAGGGATGTACACAAAATCGAATAATCAACTTCCGCTTTACAACTTTGTAACAAAGCATTTACACGTATCACTTTGTGTCATATCTTCTTCTTCTTTTATTCTATAATAAAATTTTGCTGAAAAAAACCTTGTATAAATCATCATTTCAAATTCTTAATTTTTATTTTGTTTCTAACGAAATGTGATCGAGTTCTCGGTTCAATGTCGAGCTGGTGGAGGAAAAAAAGAAGAACGCACCGCGTTATTTAACACGATGACTCTCCTCTTCTTGGCTGAGGTTCTCCGATTCCGTAACGAAGCGAAAGTAAAGGCGAGCGTTACGTTCGCTATGACGGCTGAGCAATTATCGTTCCACCTGTACGCTTGGATTTCATCTCCCGAAACACGTTCTCGTTTCAAGGCCAAGGACACAGCACAAGTAGTAGAGGGAGGTCAGTGTTCGCCGTGTGTCGATCTTCCTTCGCGTCAGCATGCCCCGCTTTTTGACAGGAAATCGAAAAATAAGACGATCCAAACGTTTCCAAATTCCCACCATACGTTCACCGTGTTTCGCACGTGAGCCAACTTACAGGTAGAATCGTCGACATTTTCAATCTTTCTTACTGTATTCTTTAACGTTAAGTCGTTTAGATTAAATTTAATCCTTTAAGTCCAGCGTCGAGTTAACTGCGATGTTTTAACTTCGTGTCGTTAGATTTGACATATTGCAGACATGTCTGAGAGGAAAATAAATTTTCTAATAACTCCGCGTACGGCAGATCATCTCTTATTTGTATCACTATTTTTGGAA